TGAAGCTGATAACTTAAAGATATCAAACTGTGAAATTTTCAAGGGTTATCAAATCCGAATAAATAGTGGGTGAGTACACGCATGTGCATACCATAGATTTGAAACATGTATTATCTGTGTCGTCCATTACTAATTGTAGTTCTGTACTGTGGTAACATTGTTTATGTACATACAACATGATCCGCAAACAATGGTTTGAAATGTAGTGAGGTGCTTTCGGGTGTGTGGGGTGCAGTTTCTAAATCTGGTGTATTTGCAAAAGCAGTAGCAGACTTGTTCGCAATTAGTAACTATCTTTGTATTTTGAAGTCTAAATTTTCAGTTTTGCCCTTCGTCCAAAGTATATGGGTTTACAGCTGTGGATCTCAAGCCAGGTGGTGAAGATGAGGTAAGGAAACAACCTACCTTTACAATTTAAACAGCAGTTAAATTTTTACTGTCTCAGCAGTAACTCGAATGCAAAGTGAATTCTTACAGTATTTATCTATTGTCTTTGCAGACTGTAACAATGGATAATGCAGAGGAATACGTTGACCTCATGTTTGACTTCTGTATGCATACTGGTATACAGAAACAGATGGAGGCATTCAGAGGTAATTTTAAATATGGCAAAATATATATGCAGTTAGGTGGACTGGTGTTCAGGGTGTGCTGGTTTAAAGTGGTGGCATAGAAGGGCTTTCAAAAACAAACTTTTACATTAAGAATGCAATAGATATTAATTTCATAACACCTTTGCATTAGTTACGCCATTTTTGATCTTGAAGAGCTTCTGTTTACCTTAATTAAGAAACTGCTGATTGATTCTGGTTTGACTAAAATACAATTGAAATGCTGACGTTATTTTATAAACGTTCGTTTGACTTACATTTATAACTATATCTTGTGTAAATTAAAGATGGCTTCAATAGAGTCTTCCCAATGGAGAAGCTGAGTTCCTTCAGCCATGAAGAAGTTCAGATGATTCTTTGTGGAAATCAGTCACCTTCTTGGGCAGCTGAGGATATCATCAATTATACTGAACCTAAACTGGGATATACACGAGATAGGTACTTATATTCTGAGTGATTTTAAAACAGTAGCTAAAAGATACATTAAGTGACAAAATGTCCAGAATGTTCATTAGATGAAGACGCCAAATTGGATGGGATCGGTGGTCACTGAAGAGCAAGTGATTGTCTAAAACTACGTGAAATAACCGTGTATGTTAAAACAGATAGGTTAGAAGGTTTTTGTGATGAGAGAGGATAAAAAAAATTAAAATACTAAAATGTGAACAACTAGTGGAAATGTAATGGCAGCTCACTAATACAGGCTGTTAAAAATAGCATTTTAGAGTCTTTACTTTCATTTTTGGTGGTGGTTATAATTTCTGTTCAGTTGGGTATAGCTGTTTTTTGTCCCTTCTTTCTTATTTCTTTCTCTTCAAGTGTAGTTAAAAAAGAAAATGTACTATGCAGGGAACAGATATACTGGTGATTGGCTATCAGGAGGTGGTCTCAACGTTTTGGGGTCTGTTGGGTTTGGTGTGGGTTTTTTTTTTTTCTGCTTGTCATTTTTGGTAGCAATAACATACAAATTACTTCTGGAACTGTGTTAGTATAAGCAGCTGAAGGATCCTAATCAGTCTGAGATGCTGTGTGGAGCGATTCTTCTATTGACCCTGTCCTGCATGCAGAGATGCAGCTGAGATTACAGTGCCTGATAGCTGAGGGTGTGTTTCAGCAGGCTGTGCTTTCTTCATGCCCTGTCCTCCCCCTCATCCCCTGGGCTGGTATGGATGAAAGCGCTGGTATCTGGAGGATTCCTCGAAGATCTGTTCTAGTCTGTTACATTTTTCCTATTTTTGTCGCATGAGGGTCTTTAACAGGATAGAAATGAAATCATACATAAATTGAAGTGGCTTTATACTGCAGAAGTGGTACAGAAAAAGTCTTAAGGTTATAGTCAGTTGGATTCTTCTCATAGAATAGGTTTGAGCTCTATCTACTTCTCTACCCATTCGTATGCAAGATACCTGAATAACACTCCAAGATAAGTATAGAGAAAAGTTCTTCTTTACCTACATTTTTCTGTGTAATACTCAGCGAGGAGGTTAAGGAAGTATTTTTATGGGGTTTATGGTGTCTTATTCTTTACTCAGTACTGAACAGGCACTAGAATCTTACAATGACTGCTTAGACGTGACTGAAGATCGTAATTGTACTGTCTCAAGAAACACTTTCTTTGTAATGCTATCATAACTAATTATTTTAATTTCTTTTAAGCCCCGGATTCCTTCGATTTGTGAGAGTCTTGTGTGGTATGTCTTCGGATGAAAGGAAGGCTTTTCTCCAGTTCACCACTGGTTGTTCAACACTCCCACCAGGAGGACTGGCAAACCTACATCCCCGGCTCACTGTTGTACGCAAGGTATGGCTTCTTCTGGGTGCCCTTCAAACCAACTATTTTGGCTTTTGAATGCAATCGTTGCTACGTTAAGAAATAACACTTCCCCCTGCCCCTGGTTTTTAATTTATGACGCTATGTGAAGCTGTCAGTACTAACCTCTGTTTCAGGTCTGTTCCCTGACTTCGTATTTGAATATAAAAGAATTAACATACATGTAAATGTATTTATAAGTTGGTCTCTAGCTTTCCTGATGCTACCGTTCCGTGACGATGGGTGTTACTTATGCAGTAAATGCCACGAATTAGAGGACCTTACAACTTTGAACTTCCGTATCGAGTGCTGTGAACAACTGCAGTAAAAAATGTTCTTTCTTTTCCTCAGGTTGATGCTACAGACGCAAGTTATCCATCTGTGAATACATGTGTGCATTATCTAAAGCTGCCCGAGTATTCTTCCGAGGAGATTATGAGAGAGCGTCTGCTAGCTGCCACAATGGAGAAAGGCTTCCATCTCAACTGAGCCGCTGACTGCAATATGGGACATGAGGAAGTGTTTTTTGATACTAGCGAAGCCTCTTGTGTTTGTGTGCAAAAAATATGATCTCCACGCTGTGCTCTGATGAGACTTGCCTTTTTTTTCACCTGTGAGGCTTTAGGAACATGTGGAATAAGTTTGTTAGCTGCTAATGACAAAATAAATCCTTGTAACTACACAGCCAGCAAGAAATTGGCACAGAACACTGTGTGATGCTTCAAGGGCTTGCACAACTGGAAATTAAGGTGGTTCTGTTTGTCTGTTCCAAAGAACAGATCATCAGATTTTCAGTGTTCACCGATACAAATTTCTAACAGTGTATTTGTGTAAAGTTTGTCATTTAATACCTTGTACACTACAGTTGCCATCACTGATCCCTGTTTTGCTGGCTTTAAGCTAACTGGTCAGAAACTTTTGCTTCCTTAAAACTTAGAGTTAATGGGCATCTCCAGCTTTTTCTTTTTTAATGGTGCCTGCACTATTGGAGTATTTTAGTGGGTTTTTGCATATAATCATGCACAACCTTTTTTTTTCTTTCTTTTTTCTTTCAAGTGGGAATATATTTTGATTTCTCAAATGCCCTGCTATAAAGATCAAATCCTTAAGTGTGTTTGTGCAGCTCAACAATAAAGCTATTAAAAAACACTGGTTCTTAGTGCAAGGCACACTTAAAGCAAGTTTTACTTTTGGTTGTATTTTCTTTGTATATTATAAACATTTATTTAACTTGTTGCAGTTTGAAGTTTAAAAAAAAACACCCAATGTGTAAGCTCAAGAGTAATCATTAAAATGTTTGCAACATATAACTGTCTCCTCTGAATACTTCATTAATCTTCTTATGTTATTAAATCTCCGTACATGTTCTGAACAATCTGCCGTACTTTTTTCAAGGTTTAAAAGAACTACATGGCAATAATTGATCTCACGAACTCGCCTCTCTGCTCAAACCTTTTCAAAAGTAGACAGTGCAGCTTTTCAAGAACTCGTCTGGCAGTGCTAACACTGCATGTGGCAGTTTTTGGTGCTCTTCAGTGGGCCCACGTGACCTGAGGTTATAGTTCTTCATTACATTGGGATAAACACCGGGTCAGATAAAGCTGAATCAGCTGCATCACTTGAGATGGAGGGCCTGTCTTGGTTTCAGCATGTGGTGAGGTATTTATTGGCAAAAAGTGGCTTACAGTAAGATAAGCAAGATGCTAATATGTCTTTAAAGATATTTAAGTACTTGATACCAGAAAAGGAAAATTACTATTTTAGTTGAATCTGCGTGGTAAGTTTTGTTCTGTGCCAGTTCTCTTTGGTAACAACCTTTGCTTGGACCGCTGCTGAGGGAGGGCTTGCCGAAAGGTTCTGCCTCATACATATGCATCAGGTTGATGCCAGATTTCATAGCATTATTCATAGGACTTTGCAGGCATCTTCTTTGAGATTTTCTCCAACGCAAAATTGAAGGGGAACCTCCACCACCCCCAGCTCCTGTGACTACTGTGCTTCAGCAAAACGGTTGCATAAACCTTGTGTTCAAGTATCTGCTCCAGATCCAATGTTGACTTTTGCTGAACGTGTTGTTACGTTGAAGCTACGTGGACAATTCTCCCACACAACACTTCACTCTCTGCTCCTCAGACCCTGGCTTCTAAGCGCAATTTAGATGCGACTGTTACGTGCGTTCACACATAAAGCTCACACAGTATATGCTCTTTCAGTATCGAGTTATGCCTAGTGCTGGTGTGGAGGTTATGAAGAAGGAGCCGGGCACCTTAATTCTAGAAAGGTAAGTGAACGTAAGCTCAGGTCGCTGACTCTTCAGTGACTTAGAGCATAGTACGGAGGTATGAATCGGCACGTTGTACGCCTGTGAACACAAGTTAGCTACATCCTCCTACTCCAGAGGGAAGATTTGATTTGGTACCTAGCTGGTACTGAGAAACCTGCGTATCTCTTGTTACTCATCTTTTGTGAACGTTTTAATTGTGATGCGTGGATAGAACATACAAGAGAAAAAAAAAATACACTGGTGTGCCAAAATAGAAAAGATTTTGTGCAATTCATGAAGCCAACATGATAAAAGATGATCAAACTTTTCATTATCTTTTATTAATGTTGTAATATTTAAGTGCCAAATACTTCTAGTTACAACTTAGAGTATACAGGAATACTAAGTAAATCTATACTTCTGTTATTTACATTGCTTTTGTAACCATGACTTACATGGAAAACGGAGCGAAACCAGCTTTTTGATGAAAGCTGAATCTAGTTTAAAAGCGGTCATAAAAGTTACAGAGCTTTAATTTACAGTACATTTGTGTGAAAAGAAAAAAATCAAGTTGGTGCTTGAAGGAAGCATTGAAACTCAGTTTGCATTTGTATTTCCATATTTTCCGTCTTCTCTTGGGTCTGGCAAAATGCTACGTAATTCCAAGTGATACCTAGATGGTCACATGTAAGTTTCCATTACTTTATCTCCAGTCAGTTTTAAAAAATGTTGACTGTTCTAGAAAGATTTCTGCTGTGTCAATAAAGCTGCATCTGAAATTGAAGGTTCCACTTTATGTGTAGCTGTATCTTTCCATTAGGTACGGAGGGTAGAGGAGAAACAGGAACTATTTTCCAAACAATTTGAATATTGTGTGAGTCAGTCTTACGACATGGGAAAAGTGCTGTCGGTACGCCCTTGATGGTTTCACCATCTCCTGTAAAATGCTGCAGTCAGTCTTGCGTCTTCCTAGCTTTCTGCCACTTTGTCAAGCACAAACAGAGGGGCAAGAATTCTGTTCCTGTTTGTTTCCACGATGCAGCCATTTAGCACCATTTCATCCAAAATGATGTGCACTCTGTCCAAATTGAACATGATCTAGAAACATTTCAAGTTAAGTACATTTTGAACAACATGGAGGTAATTCAGAGAAAATCTTAGGCACCTTAGTCTTTGATCAAAGTTTACAAAAATAGGTATTTATTAATTCTAGTGTATTTGGCTGTTTATTTTAATAGAGCTGGGGAAACGGTTCAACTGACGCTTTTCTGCCCGCAGAGATGTCAAAAGTTTGTAGTAGAGAAATTGAAGCCCCAGCAGTATCCCATCCTGGAAGATTACCACATAGTAGTAAAAGCAAGGTAAACTTGAGCTTAGGTGTAGGTCGTTAATTTTACTGTCTGCCTGAGCACCACGTATTGCTTGAATATAAAATGTTGTCGGGGGATAACAACCTTGAATGTGAAGGTGCGCAGATATTCTGCGTTTCTTCTTAGAAAAGTAATTGTCAGTCAAATTCTTAAAAAAATCTGATTCTCAAATCTTCCTTGCCCGAAGTTACTAACACTATTTGATCTGCTTGAAAATAGCTTAAGAGGAATATGCTGATACGTAAAGTTGAGTCATTGATCTAGTAATAAATCTCATAAAGAAGAGCAGCAAAAGTAAATAAATGGTTCATATTTTAAATGCTTTCTAAAAGATATTTATAATCTCTTAATGTTCACCTAAAGGAAAATAATCTGACACAACATGAATTTGTACTGTTGGAACAACAGTACAAACATCTGAAACAACATGGAATTTGTCCATAACCATGTCTGTCTTTCCTTAACATTATCTAACAGCATCCGTCTCAAAAAAAAAATGATGACAGGCCTTACTCCGGTATTTAAGCGGCGGGCATTCTTCTGCATACCTTAGTGTTTTGTGTATCCGCTGAACAACTGCAAAGGGTTACTTACTGAAAAAAGACTCTTACGTTGCCATTTATCACCAGAACCTGAAATGGAAATGGGCATAGCAAAAAAGCCCACTGGGTACATCTGTTACCCCTAACTGACACGTACGTACATAGAGAAGCGTGAATAACCCTTCGTCTGCCTTGCTCTCCACCCGTGAGAGAGCTCTTTATCTGTGTTCTTCGCTGTGCTGTGCTGTAGCGTGAATAACCCTTCGTCTGCCTTGCTCTCCACCCGTTGCTGCTCTTTATCTGTGTTCTTCGCTGTGCTCAACAGATCAGCTTGGCCTTAATTTTGCTTCTCCTAGTTCTTGCCTGTGTATTGAGGACTACTGCAGTGGAGCTAGCAAGACACTTCACAGTAACTTCTAAATACATCCGGCAATACTTTTTTCCAACTTTGATGAGAGACCCTTCGTCTGCCTTGCTCTCCACCCGTTGCTGCTCTTTATCTGTGTTCTTCGCTGTGCTCAACAGATCAGCTTGGCCTTAATTTTGCTTCTCCTAGTTCTTGCCTGTGTATTGAGGACTACTGCAGTGGAGCTAGCAAGACACTTCACAGTAACTTCTAAATACATCCGGCAATACTTTTTTCCAACTTTGATGAGAGTCTCTTGAGTGCCTTCTCTGCCCATTATGCTATTTTTGATGCTATGGTTTGAGCTCAGGAAGACAGCCTGGTTTTGCTCTAGTCCTTCTATTTATGTTAGTGGACTTCCATTCTAGTCAGTGGAGTTGCAGGAGCCAGGTTTTTGAAGGCATCAACCTTTTCCTCTGCTCAGCACAATAAAGCTCAAGTCTCATTTTCTGAACATGGCTCAGGCATTTAAGAGGACTGCTCTGTCTCACGAGTTCTAGTGTATCTAACTACAGCGGTCTGCCCTGTTGCTCTGCCGAAGAGCAGGAACAGTGGGAGTACTGAACCGTACATGACAACAGCTGAGGAGCCACACATCTGTATATATTTGTTCCTCCTAGGTGGTAAATGCAAGTGGCGGGGAGACAACACCTTAAACCACCAGAGCTGCAATGACGTGAGCTCATGAAAGTGAACCGTCTTAGGTCTGAATTCAAGAAATGGATTTAAGTAACATTGAACATCCCCGTGCCTAGTTTTTTAGCACCTGGCTTTGAGAAGGGAATTCCTTAATCTGAGTTAGGTGCCTTATTTTCCCTGCAATGAGTGGTGAAAGTCGGACCCATCAAACAATTCAAAGGTTCTAGAGAACGGGGGCTGAAGCCAGTATTTAGGAATGCAGAGAGGGATTTTTCTGTAATCCTTTCTTTTAGATTCAGAAGCCCAAGTCATTACTTCAGGTAATGGTGACTGGCTTGGTCTCTTCTTTTAAAATGTCACAGTAGAGCTGCTGCCTGCCTGAAACCTGTAGAGGACGGAGGCTGAGCTGGTCCTCAGCCTGGGGGGGTCCCAAACCCGCCTTTCTCTGTGGGCAAGCTTAGCTGAGTTGGTAGCAGCTGCACCTGCTGCCTTCTACTTCAGGTTCTCCTGCTGTCTGTAAAAGTTCTTGCGTATGACTGTCTAGCCCAGAGACGAGAGAAACTTGTTTTTGTCCCTGTCATGGTGATTGCTTCTGCTGCATACGTTAAAGCAAGAAGAGGGCACAGAGTATCTCATGTCAGCTTTGCCTGTGACCACCCTTCTAAGAGATGAAAAGTAGAAGCTTGAACTTGCTCAGGCTGAATTGTAGGATGAACCCGTATGTTCCAGTTGACGAGAATACAGCTAGCAGCCTGTCACCTTCCTCTGCCGTTTCAAATTGCTGTGAGTGCTCTGGGCTGAACTCAGTGCTGCTGTGTATTTGTGCCGAAGGGTAAGCAATTGTATCGCTGCTCCAACAACCGTGTTCTGCTTGACCAAGAGCACAGCATATCTAGGTATGTGTAGCAGCAGAATTCAGGCCCCCCAATAACTTCACTACTAGTTACTTGTATGTGAGGAAGAGAAACTACAGCTGACAACAGGATCTTGGCTATGTCCATGGTTTATCAGATAACATCTAATTTGCTGGCCTAAACATAACCACCTAATTTAATTCTAAGTTGTATTTCAAATACTAGACTTCCTCCACTCTGACTGTAGGCCTAAATTGCTTCTAAAAATCAGACTCGTGCCTTTCAATACTGAGGAGCAATACTGTCCTTAAAACTTCAACAGTCTCAGTTTCTGTGGTTCCAGAGACAAAGGTAGTTGTTTTACTTTGCATGGCAGATTAAAGACTCAAGACAAATTTCTTCCTATGGTACACTTTTCAAGTAGATCAGTCTTTACACAAATATTTTAACCTGAGAAGTTAGGATTTCTTTATTCCAGTAATGCGAGAATTTTTAGGAAGACAGTTCTACTGCTGCTTAGTTCACCTCTGGCACTGCTCTACATAGGGCAAGAGGAAGCTAGGTAACATTCCATTCAGGTTTCAACAAGTGATAAAGCCAACTCCTCCTGCCTTTTAATTTTTACACTCTACCACTGATTCACAGTGCTCCAGTTTCCACGGCAGTGCGAGAGCTCCTGTCTCTCCAAGCCTTCCTCTTCCTTTGAGAGTCCCAAGGATCTAAAACCCAGAAGACTGGATCAACCAGGATCAGGGATGATGCAGCAACTTGCCACTCCCACTTTATTTTTCTGCATCACCTTGTTTAAGAAAACATTTAAAACACAGCGCTGCTCTTTCCCCTGCTGCATTTCCTAAAGAGCTGATACCATGTGAAAGGAAAACTGCACCCACACCAATAAGCATCTTGCAGCTGTTCCACTCAAACCCAGTATGGTTAAATGAGACATCAATTCCCCTGCAGGGCCATTCCAGGTTATTTCAAAACTGGCCTACTCCATTACAGAAAACAGTGGTACGATTTCTGTCCATCTGCAGTAACCTGTTAATCTCACAGTCATCATTCCAGAAGCAGCGATTTCACCTGCAGTTTGAATGGGGATACTAATACCATTCTGGAAAGATCTATCATCTTGATTTCGGAAGGTCCCAAAGCGTTCTTTACCCTCAACCTAACATCCCGGCTTCCTTTTTCAGTTCCCTTCCCACCTCCCTTTACCATGCTGTTCTTGGCAAACAGTCAGATTGCACAGGGAGGAACCGTGGCTTTTTTCCCCTTCCTGTAAGTCTCATGACTATCCTCTACGGTTACATCTTGTCATACACACGCTGCCTAGCCATTCATGTCTGAATGCCCTGCCCAGCGAGGGATATGTATCTCTGATCCTCAGCAAGGCTCATCCTCCCACCTGTCACTTGTTTGGCAAGTGACCCCAAATTTCAGGGTTTAAAGCCTTGAAGTCATAGATCCACACCCAGCTGAAGAGCAGCAAAGCAAACCAGTTTGAGCAACAGGAAAAAGCTATATTCGGTGTGCGCACTACCATGTGCACCACCCAGAGCTGTCATTTCAGGTCCTGCTTCCAGTAAGAATCCTGGCTGCCCACAAAAGAGAGTTAAGGGACTTTCCCTAGATCTGTGCAGAAGCTAACAGGAATTTTTAAACAAGTATGCAGAAGAAAACATGTATTAATGTCTGCACCTGTGGATAAAAGTCTGTAATAAAAGTTTTCAGAGCACCCAGCTAGGAAATACTCTTAACAAGTTGTCAGCCTAGGCAAAAGGTGAGCCCTCGCTGTCTTTGGTTTACAGATTTCAGCCAGTGCTGTTGTGGCTGCGTACCTAGCAGTAGAAGTAAATGGCACCTACTACAATTGGTATTTAAATGTTATGCTGGTTTTTGGTAACTTTCAGAGCTGCCCTCATTAAAGAAAGACATTAATGGTACTTTCTACGATCACAAAGAATTTTTACGGCGCAAAAGGTGAGCCCTCGCTGTCTTTGGTTTACAGATTTCAGCCAGTGCTGTTGTGGCTGCGTACCTAGCAGTAGAAGTAAATGGCACCTACTACAATTGGTATTTAAATGTTATGCTGGTTTTTGGTAACTTTCAGAGCTGCCCTCATTAAAGAAAGACATTAATGGTACTTTCTACGATCACAAAGAGTTTTTATGGCACATACATACATACATACTAAGAGGAGGTAAACGTGACACAGTCTTGTGTCTTCTTCCAGAGAACTTTATATAGGCAAGGTGGGGGGTGGGGGAGAGGGGAAGGAAAGGAAAAAGGCACATTTAGGTGTGACAAATAGGTGGGGGAGAGGGTTAGGTGGGGGAGAGGGGAAGGAAAGGAAAAAGGCACATTTAGGACTTGCATGTGACAAATAACTTCTTCATATAGAGACATTTTAAGATATCTCAGGATTTCCCAGGCAAGTAATTAAGGGTGTGTACAGGCTTAAGAGATTATAAAGTGCAGCCAACACCTTGTGATCACGTAACACACCCAGGAGCACGAACAAAAGCTTTGTAGATTACAGCACGGGGACTTACGGGGCAGACGGTTTGCTACTGAATATACAGCATTACAAAACTTTGATTTCCATCCTGGACATTCATCTTTAGCTGAAGATTAGTTGGAGTTGCTTCTTTTTTCAATCTAGAGTCACACATTCCGCCTTTATCTTTGCTAACGTTCCCTTTAAGTAACTTTTAGCCTACCTAACGGCAGGCAGATTTTAGGCACTGAAACCCATTTAACGCTTTCTGACCCTTTCTTTCTCAAACGACTATGCTGACATTAAATAGGAGACAAATGGTGCCTTCGAGTTCTGTGATATTCTAGAACAACAGTTTTAAGCTAATCCTTACAGGTTTCCACTTCATCCACTTTTTTACAGTACAAACTGAAGGGTATCCTTATAAATTCTCAGAATAAATTCATCACTCAATTTTCTTACTACTTAAATGCTTAAAGTGTTATTCCATGGGGGACTGAAGAATACAGTTGATTCACATGAAGCATTCCCTGTATCAAAGCTTTTTATCTATCCTAGGAGCAGCAGCAGCTAGTTGCAATGGAATGTAATGGTTTTTTTAGATCAAGACAACATTCTTTAAATGCTTGGTCCTAGAGCACCCTGTCTTCCCCCTCCCCTCCCACAAGGGGAACGTAAGTATCTGTTTCTTCTGTAAGTTAATAATGTGTCTTCAAGTAAGCTTTGCTTCACCAGTTCAAGCAATAAAAAAGTAAACTTTTTGTAATTTTAGAAACTCTTATGCTTACCAGCATATTGTACCCTACAAAGCTGCTGTGGTAACACTTGCGTTTTTATAGTCTCTTTGCCATCATCACACCAAGAAAGTAGCTCCTACACCATCCAGGCTGGAGTTTTAGAGGTACAGAAAATCCCACCCACTTATTTCATACACAGAAGTGAGGCTCATCTAGTGCTGTTAACACATCAGGAAGCAACACCCCTAGGACAATTTCAGTACTAGTTCATTCAACTGGCCCACAACACTACTCACAGATATTTTAAAAACAAACCAAACAACTTCAGAAATGTTATGTCATTCCGTCATAGGTACCCTTAAGTATGTGACCGACTCTCAGAATGAAAGGGGACATCATATAATAGCTAAATGCTTTACAATTCACACATAAAAGCTTCTGTAAAAACTATGGCTACTCTAGAGTTAAAGTAGTTACTTAACTGGCTAGTAGCTAATCGGTGTTCATTTTTGCAGTATGCATGAGAGAACTTTGCAATTGTTCATGCATTGTTTAGCATCATACACACCATGTATGTCATACATACATATAAATATTATGTATGAATCCTGTTGGGCAGGATTCAGACTGGACCCAGTCTCTGCCTTGTGCCCAAGGTGCCCTTCAGGCCACGATGCAAGACAGGATGCAGGTGCCCTGGGTGAATTTGGGTGTTTGGACCTAAATGGAAGCTGGAGTCCCGCATTAGCAGGAGCTGCGTTGCCAGGAATGCTGGGGTAATGCACCGCGGCTGGGGAAGCTTTAAGAATCAGTGCACATGCTGCAGGCTTAGCATGGACTCCAGGAACATTCCAATTGCGTGATGGTCTCAGCCTTTAGATTTAACTGGGGTTTGCCCTGTGCATGGGTGAATAGCCTTCAATGATTATAATCTATTTTTCATGTTTTTTGATTTCATGTCATTTCCTACTATTTTTTGCATGTTAGTAAACACTACTTTCTATATAGAATAGCCACTATCACTTTTGCAAAAAACTTCCTATGGATCTGCACACAAAAATAATAGCGCAGAGACAGGAAGTTGTCACAGTCTCCTGCCAGATGCCCCGTATACAAAGATTCTGTAAATACTACTTGGTGTTCGCAGTTACAGACCTTGAGCCAGTACTTCCTCCACCAGATATTTTGCACCCAAGATAACCGTACTGAATGTAAGAGTTAGCTTAAGGCTATTTGGCAAAGGAAATGGTTTAATCCCAGGTGGGGATATTCTCTTACACACTATGAAAGTATATTGATGGATTATTGCTTGCACTGCATTAACATCTGAGACACTTGTAGTCCAGATCTTATGTTGTTCTTCTGGGCCTGCTATTCAAGCTGTTGTCAAAAATAAATACAATCCTGAACAGCCCACTTCTTCATCGTTACACCTCTGCTTTACATTTAATGTTGAGGGTATCTCACTTTATTTCAACTATTTTACGTATCCTCTCAACTTATGAAAAGCTCTTTTTCCTAAATGGGAGAATTATTTTGTACATCTATAGAAGTAAAATGTTTTATTTTAAAATTGTTCCTGAAATGTATAATGTATAAAAGTGCATTTCTGAATGGAAAAATTATGTACATCATGCATGTCATACATGTTGAGGAGAGACATATCAGACATGAGCTTTTCCAGTATTATTTCCAGTATTATCAAATAAGATAGTAACGTACACTCCTATTTTCCAAATATTTATATTCACACCCTCATGCAGACGAGACCCATGTAGAAGATGAATTTCTACAGGAGTCGTTCAGACACTGTATTGCACCCATTGCAAATGTTAGTGTGAGCGTGTAATGCAACTTCTCTAAACAATGCAGACTAGCACTGTATGCAGAAGCCCTTCTCGGCTATTAAATGGGCTACTGGTGATAACTGTAAGTGTGTAACTACAGGAAATTCCTCTTGGTATGAAAACAATGACCAGAGGCAGGCAGAATTTAGAATCATCAGTACTGCAAGCAATCTAAGATAAAAAGAATCAGCTAATTGCAGACTCAGAGTACACCATATGGAAACATATGGGCTATTTTTATGTATAATTACTGAATAGGTCAGGTTAGTCTCTAATTCAGCAAAGCTCATGCACAAGTACACACAGTTCTAATCCTTAACAATAATAACTGAATACAAAAAATGTAGTTATACAATTGCTCAGAGATCTTCAGAGTCTCTTCATGCTGAAATTTCATTATTGCTCTTTTATAATATAAGTGAATTTAGGAGTGTTATATTAATACCACAGCATTTTGTGAATTTCAGGAAGGAAATACAGACAGTATATATACACATACATATATATTTAAGTTCAGTAAATGGACAGAGTTCCAGCATGTAGCAAGCATTAAAATATTTACAAAAGTGAAATTAATTATTTCCTTTTGGGTTTTTTTTCAGTAAAGAAGTGAGAACAATTACAAGAAAAATTACAGAATTTTTCTATGTTCTTCATATATACTATTTCTTAAATAAGGTAAATAAACTAAATTACTTTAAAGTATTTGATTCCAGGGTGGCAACTATATTTCAGGTGTATAATGGAAACCGCTTTCTACCAGTAGATCTGCATTTAACCAACAACAAACATAGGCATAAGGATTGCTGGAGTGGAGTGAGCAGGCAGTGGGACTGGAAGAACTGAGGAGGAAGATAACTGTTTGTGCTACATTTTCCTGGTTTAATTTTCTTTGAATTCAGTATTGTATTTTATTTACTTGCTATTTGTGTTTAATTATTCAGGACTGTATTTTAGTATTTGTTGTATTTGGTTTTAGTTCATTTTTTAATTATATTTTAGTTAATACCCTGCAAATCCATACACATGAAAATACAGCTGTCTAAGGGGGCGGGAGGGAAAAGAAACAGGTACTGTGGCAATGCCTGGTTTCCTAAATTTCCTCCTCCCAGGCCTTTCTCTCTTTCCATTGATGTAGAAAGTAAAACTCACCTAGACTTTCATGAAGTAAGATCAAAGCGCAAACCTAATCTTACAATGATGCTACCGCTATTTGGCTCAAGACACAGCTGTAACATTCAGTTGTTATTACTGCAGTCATTTCAATATCTATTTCATTGTAAACTTAAAGAAAAAAGTAAAACCCTGAAGTAATAATTAGTTAAGCCTGAAAGTTCCCCCATGAATATAACTTTTCATGTCTAGGTGCTAACGGTACTTAGTTCTCTCTAAGCAAGCTCTCCCTGCCTTACTTTAAATGGTACCAGGCTTATCTTAATGACTGAGGATTTAAATAGGTGACCCTCATGAATATCAGCCGTGCTTTCAGAAAGGTGCCAAAATGGTGCTACTTACTGTAAGTGCATAATTTGTGAAACCTCTGCATTGTCTCGACTGTTTGACAGTGTTATGAAGACAGTATGAACTGGAACGTACACCAAAAAGAGACAGACAAATGGATTTCTGATACTGAAAAGGATACATCTAATTCACTCTGCAAGGTAAAGAAATAGACAACCATTAGTTACAGTTTGATCTCTCATCTCATAGTCATTAGAAATTAGACATATCCCTTTAGAGGATAAAGAAAGTCTTCAAAATACAGATACAAAATTTTAGGGCGATTCAGATTTCTGTTCTGGACTGTACAATTACATGCTCTTTCCTGCAACACTGTTTTGCCTTTTATGTGTTACCTGCCTCTGTAACAAAAGCTAATGTCCTGAAATTTTTACTTAGAAAAACCCACTGAGGGTTACCCACAAGTAACAACTTGAATATACAGAGTGCCATCTGAATGAGTGGGTGGAAAACCAGCATCTCTGATCGTGGCAACGCCAGCCCTATATTCTCTCTTCCTCCTTCTGCAAAAACAGAATGTTAATGCCAAGTTTACAATTCATATAAAAACACAGTTAAAAATATTGCTGCAGATCATTTCAACAAAACATAGTTAAAAGTGTTGCTGCAGATCATTTCAACAGCAAAATCTAGACATTGTACATACCCATGGCTGTGGCAGCTGTGGCTGGATATATTAGGAGAGGGAAGGTAACTCCAAGCTTTGGACCCTTAGCACTTCTAACTGTTGCTCCAGCCCCAGCAACACAATTCTTCACATAGTCATAATTTCCTTTCTAGTCTTGGCCTGGATTTACCCCAAGTAGTTTTATTCATTTAACCAAAATGCCTGAGTTTGAAGCCCTTGTGGTCTCTGCAGTCAACAGAAGAGATGGGTATCTTCAACAGTTGACTCAGCACACTTGAGGCGTGACTCACTTTCTCAAGATACTCATCGGTCACCGCTGCCGGTAATGGGAGCTTAGGATGACCAAACTTCTAACTTAGGTGCCTCGGTTAAATGTCTAAATTTAGAAACAATTAATCACAGCCTCAGCAGTTAAGATCTTCCACAGTTAGGGTGGAGCTTCCCCAGTCTCTGCTGAAAGAGGGAATCTTTATCTGCTACTGAGGGAATTTAGTTTGCTAACAAGGTTTCAATTCACTGTCTAATCCTGGAGTTTTAGGCAGAGTTCCCACTGGTAAAATTGCTACTACTTCTATGGTCTAAAGATGCTCTAAACTGGACTAGTTCTAATCTACAGGCCTCCGCTGAGTGACCCTGCCATTCTTCAGCTAGAAATTTTTTATGCATCACAAAAATTGTATTTTAAGAGCCTGATCGGTTTGAGTTTTCTCAGCATTAAAAAGTAGTTGAAAACAGTGGAGTATGTATTCCGAACAGCATGCAGGGTTTTCCCTGGGTAGCCATTATAAAAGTGAAGGGGACTCACAATTACATCTCACAAGCAACTTCGAAAGCTTTCCCCCTAATTCTGTTAATGTTTGTTCTGGTATTTGAATTCAAGCTCTGTAAACTCCATTAGATAAAAAAAGAGTATGTGAGAACGTTTAAAGCTCACAAGCCTTAAAATAATAAATGACAAAATGTCCTTCTAGAGCAGGACAGATGTTCTTTCCTTTCCCAGAGTTTTGTCTCCATTGTCACCATCATAATTTGGGATTCTGCTAAAATTCTGCAAATCCTAAACATTAATCCATAGTAGTACAGACTTATACTTTCCTGATCTGTGGTTTCTGCCAGAAACCCCAGCTAGAATTACAGCCCTCTTCTTCAGTGCTCTGCTGTTTATCGTTGTTATATGCTATTAAAAATAGAACCACAGAACGGCATGAGATTTCTTTAACCACCCCCCTTTTTGGTTCCCCTAGTTTCAAACCTTAAATGCTATGGAAAATACAAAAAACTCTGGTATGATGAATTCAGCAAATTTCTAACAACTATCAGTGGTTGGGTTATATGTGTGGTCAAGGAATTAGATGTACTACATTTATATGTATAAGAACTACATCTGTTTTTGCTCTGCCTCAAGTGAAGAAAAAAGTTGAGAAGTGGTTGGCAACTATTAGCTCAATTAGATAAATAACACGTGACAAAATTTTATTGTGCATTCCTGTGCTGCCGGGATCAAATTCCATTGCTGGTTATCACTCCTTTAGGTTGGGACTGCAATCATAACAATTTTAAGAGACAAATTCTGAACTTAGTACAGTCAGAAAGGGATATACTTTGTACCAGCAGCTTCAACAGGCTGGTGTGACGTTAGTTGAGATAATAGCCTAAAACATTTGCCAGGCATCTGAATAGTGAATGGTGCAGATGACCGTGTCAAGCATGTCCTTGAATTCACAGAGGGAGCTCTGCCATGTCTGCTGTGGTACTAATACTGGGAAACCAGTTACAGACCCTGCATACTGATCTCTTGTATGTATAATTACCAAAGTAATACCCTCCAGTGCACGGACGACGGAGGAAACTCTATCCAGTCTTCTTTTCCGAGAGGGATATTCAACGCATTTCAGCATAGACAAACTGAAGTTGTGCCCAAGTATGATTTCAGGCGAATTTGTTTACAAGAAGATTATTACAAATCCTATACTAAACAGCACATGTTCTAACCAGGATTATAATGCTGCGTTTTCAAACTTTGTAAAAACAAACAAACAAACAAATCTCCCACCAAAAGGAGTAGCGCCATTTTAACTGGAGCCATGTCTGATGTTGAATCCTCAACAAAATGACTATCTGTGTAATAGCTGATTTATCAGATATCCACTGTTGCATGACAACAATATGGGGAGCACAAGTACAGACTGGTTTTTGAAGTTTCATTTGCTCCATCCCTCTGATCTTGTTCAGTAAGAGTGATATCAGCGCCCTGCTTAATGCTTACACCATCTTTATCGTGAATGAAGTGCATTTGGGGGGTGTAATGCTAAGAACTGCAAAAAAGAACTGTAAAGAAAAACCTCTTTATTTCTTTAAAATGTATAAAACGCCAGTGGCTAATTTAAGAGTAGGTGACCCAAAGAAACCCCTGAGTATAAGCATATAAAAACATGCTTTTCTAACAGAAATATTTCTGGTATTCCTTGTCTGATGATTTATAACCCACATATACAGAAATATTGGTGGTATTCCTTGTCTGATGATTTATAACCCAATACATCTACTTCTCTGAAAAATCAACTAATACTGGGTTTTTTTCCTTTCTTTTTTTTCTCTTTTTTTTTTACAGTGGAATTTAAAATTCTAAATGAATATTAAAAAAAATATTTTCTCCTTTGATTTATTCCCCAAAATGCCATATTCAATAAAGCTTTGAAAGAGAAATACTTCATAATAGATTCAATGTTTCACTCACAACTCTGCTGAAGTATTTGTCCAAAACTTCCACAAAATTATGAATTAGTTCATATACTGCCATCTCATTCTGAAATTAAATTAAAAACAAATGAATATTAAATAAGTAGCTAGAAAATGTAATTGTATTCTTTGTGCTATTTCCATTTGCGGTGTATGAAAAGCAACTAGAAAATATAATAAGACCTACAATAAAGCGCACAAGCTCAGGCCACCATAGCGAGAGGAGGTGTGGCTACCCAGTGGAGGTACCGAGAGCAGGGGAGTGCTCAGGGGCAGAAGCTTCAGGCCAGCCACACAAGTAAGCACTGCAGGACCCAATGGATTTGTCTCGCCTAGGCTGCTGCCATCCGATTGCATCCTTTGTTCCACCATCACCCAGGTTAGCTAGACAGGTACAGCTAACTCGGCTATGCGTACCCATGCTGAAGTCACACCGGCCAGCTGCAGCACAGAGCCCGGCTATGGTGCAGCAGTATAGACGGGCTATTTTTATGTGGTGTAGCAAAGCCAAAAGGATTTGCCCAAAATTGCATGCCATTATAACCCTGACTTGAAGACACTGTGGTAATCTTCCTTCCACACCACCCAATTAAAGTCTCCAATAGTAAGCACTGAATTAATTTCTGAGAACTGGGAATCAATGTAAACACTAAAGCCTTGCAGGCTCTGCCTGAACAGATGAAATAACAGTACTTGTCAATTTTCAGTCAGATACCTTTTTTTTAAAATACAATAAATTGGCATCTTTGTAGCTGACAGTATGGGAGTTTTTTCTTTGGCCGAGGAGGTTAAAAACAGTGAGCAGTTGGGGAAGTCAACGCGGATGAGACAGCTGATCTGGCTGTAATGCTAACATTTGTTGAGAAACCCCACCCTACATAAATTTGTTTAATCAAACATAAATTTAGAAAGCAGAATCAGTATAAGGCTCATGAATACTGCCTCATGATAAGAGTTCAGTCTACTGCTATAGAATGAAGTCAAACATACATTTTCTTTATACCTCTTTTTATTTCACAGAAATAAAAACGTCTTTTTGCAATGACTCCTTGAAATTCTGTAATTGCTATTGCAAAATTCCATGCTGGAAAAAGACTTGAGCTCTTGCCCGTGACTACTACAAGCTCTCGTGTCAAGAGTGTATATAATTCCTTACCTCTGTCTCGTTGATTCCAACGACTACAAAAAGGGCTGCATACTGTCGGTATACCAGCTTAAAGTCCTTATACTCAATGAAAGAGCACTAGGCAGAAGAAAAAAAGAGTCACACGTAGTAGCTGCCATTTAAGCATACAACAGTATTAAGCACAGAGTGCTCAAAGAGCCTAAGCTTTCACGTTCGTAAGGCCCACAAAGAACAATGGATTTCCCAAGATCCACCAAACAGTTTTGACTTGAAAGAAATTTAGTAGGATAACTACTCCACAAAACTTTTCATCTACTGGCAGAAAACATGCTACCACTTTTTAAATGGAAAAACTGGAACATAGAGAACGGAAGTGACTTGTTTGGGGTTTTAAAGCAGTCAATACTTCCCCTAAATTTTCATTTGGAAGCACTGCCAAAAGAGACAACCTCAAGGTAACTGTCACATTTAAAAAATGATCGATATTTTTATAAAAAAATTAAGAGTATTAGATTTCCAGACCCAAAGGGAAATTCCCATGTCTTTCACAATAAGACAGAAGCCAGCAGATGGTGCTGTTATACACTGCTTTACAAGTCGCCTCCTTTTTCTTAAGTATCATTTTGCTCAGTCCTTGAAATGGCAGCATACCGTTAGCTCTTTTGGTGAAGTTTCTGTTTGGAGACGCTCTTGCAAGCAGTGTGGAGGAGGTTAATTTCTTTGGTCACTGTCAATTCTGTGAACTAAGGTACTTTCTATGAGGTTTCCTAGAATGAAATATGAGGACCACTGTTCGAGGACACAAGTAATGAAAAATAAAGCAGCTGACTTCAGAACAGAAACCAAAAAACTCTACTCAGTCCAAGTCACAGATTTCTCCTCCAATGCAAGTCGATGTGCTCAAAAGTTTTGCTAAGTTTGGTACTTTTCTTAAAGAACCAATGGCTCAATTAAGTGAGCCATGAAAATCTCAACTTTCATCTAAGAAATTTTCCAACTTCCGAGTTTTCTGACTTTCTTGCAGAAAGCGTGAACACTTTTTTTGAATAAAAATGCCTAATACAGAGGCCTAAAAATTTGTGTTTCCAAAACCCCCTGTGTTTTAGATAGTATTTTCATTATTTGGAATCCTCTCTCCTAAGTTTTTTATTTAAACTTGGAGCTGTCAGTATTATCCCTACTACCTTCTGGCAAAGCAGCAGTAATATCTCTCTATCAATCTCTACCAGACAAGCAATAACAGGATAAAATAAATTCTTCCTGTACTTCTGAGCTTCTTCAAACAAACAGGAGGAATCTTCATGACAGTGATACACAAAACTCCGAAATCACTGTAAGCCTCAGAAAAACGTATTTATTCAATGCAGAACAACAGTTCAACCCATCATCTAGAAACACAATCTTTTTCTTCATGGGTACAAATGAAGTAACGACCTGCAATGGAAACTGATGTGTTTTCAGAATTATCGACATGAAAGATATAAGATGTTGATAAAATAAAATGGCTAGGGGAAAAACTACAAAACTTACCTGATCCTTTGAACGGGAGAGACAGTTTTTGATTACTTCAGCTTCCAGCATTGTCCGTTTATTAATTTCTACATGCTCGTAATACCTAGAGAGCCTTGTTTGACCTTGTTTGTTTACCATAAGAAAAAATTTTATCATTTCTTTTTTGTTGATCTCAGCAGTAGATTTGAATATGGGGTGCAGGAATCAAGACGAGTATTTCTGTGAGGAAAAAACCAACACAATAGTATACATAGGAGTTATAAAAGACTTCCTAAAAGCTAGCTAGCCCAGATCCGCATATATTTAAGACTGAGTTTATTGTCAAAACATAGAATATAGGAAAAAAAAAATCTCTAGTCTTTTGAGCAAAAGAAAAGCTAGCTAGCCCAGATCCGCATATATTTAAGACTGAGTTTATTGTCAAAACATAGAATATAGGAAAAAAAAAACTCTAGTCTTTTGCATGCATTCCATGAGTAAAACTCAATTTTTTTCTCACACAAATAATCACAAACTATCTAATAAATGTTAGCTTTCACATTATCAGGCAATTTAATTTTTTTGTAGGATTTGGGGAATTGGAGGAGTAAACAATTACTTCTTCAAAACCATAAATCTACTCACCATTTTCTTCCCGCATGCTAACTCATTTGAGAACATTATCAGAAATTTGCCCAATACCAAAACATAAGATTAACACAGCTCATAAGAGCAAAATTGGCCCATGAGAGCTTCTCCCCCCCGCCCCCCGACTTGTACTTAACAATTTCATTCATACTATCCTGACATCAGATTGAAGGGAGGGAGAACAAAGGGAAATGCATGGGCCACAACACATGACTATTTCTTTAATGCAGAATGAGAGCCTCCTAAATATTTGGGTATCAGCAGTATCAGCACACATCTTGAGCTGGACGAGGAGCTGCTGAAATCTGTTTTCTCCCATCTAGTTTCCCACACTGACGCGAAAGGTAGATTCTGCACTTAATGAAAACTAAGTGTGGGTCTTTGATAGCTAAGGAGAAACCTGTTCATGTTAATTACTCAAAACAGCTTAATCTCAATCTAAATAAATATTAATCCACACAATGCCACTGAAATAGAGTTATAGAATATAAATACGTCACATGCAACGTACAATGAAAAAGGCTATTAAAAAGAGCACAGCGTATATCAGAATCTGCTTGCTAAACAACTGAAATCTTTCATGTTTTGAAAAGCATGCAAAAAAGGTACGCAGCAGATGTAATCTTTCGAAATAGAAGTTCTGGGTTATTTTCTTTAATGCCAGAAAACAGCCACTGTCATGTTTTCCATCTGAGACTCTATTTGGATCACAGATTTATTGGCCCAAATGCTCTTGAGGTTTATGCACTGGAAATACAGCAACTACCACAAAAGCTATTTATTTATTTCAGTTCTGAAGAGTTGCTCCTTGCCTGGTGCAAATATTCTCTCCTAAGGTCTCACAGCTCCTGTGAGAAAGTCCAAGCTGGAAAAAACCGTATCAGGAATCCACAGAACAATACAGTGTAGCTCTTTGTGTAAAAACAGTGTTATCAATGCAGAAAAGCAAAAGGGGAAAAAACACAAAAACCAAAATAGGTTCTGAGGCAGCAACGTCACAGACATTTAAACATGGGCTGATTTTTTATAACAAGGCAAGCTGCATAGGTGCTGCCTCATATTATTAGCAACTTGAATAAACTGGCTATATACCATTCATGGGTGATAACATCTAAATCTTTCATGACAGTGATACAAAAAATCCCAATATATTGTGCTAACATTAGTTATTGCTTACTTCTGATTCATATTGGTCACCTCATTATTTTCTGAAAGAAAAGCCACCTCTATTATCATCACTCGGATCTCAAGAAAGCGATCCTGTTTTCCTCAGCGTACTGTAGTTTACTCCATATACAAAGAAGTTTAGATTTCTATACTAAATGTATCCTCACTGATTAGACCTGATACCGAGGATTCATTTCTTAACTAAGTGACACCTCCAGGGAATAGGAGTCCAGGATGAATCATCAGGACAAGACAGTCCGTTTGGAATTGTGGAAGTCTCAGAGCTTTCTCACCTCCACCAGGCACAGTGAAGTCTCTTCACGTCCAGAACAGGAGTGCACTTTTGTTGATCCTCTCCAACAGAAGAGTCATGGACGCTGGGCAGTGCTGCTGCAGTGGTGCACGTAGCTTGTCCACTGCGCCGCGTGCTTCTGAACTAGCACAAGTGGGTCTCTGATAAAGAATGAACCAGGTAATTAAAACAAAAAAGGGCCCAGATAGAGATGTACGACGGGATCTTCAATGTCAGATGGCAGCTTAGGCTGACATTTACGACTAAATGGGAGAGTACCATCTATACAAGCTTTTTTGCATTTAATATGTGGCTCTTTTTTTTCCCCCATTCTATTTGTATTGCTGCTTGAAGTTAGAGTTGCAATAAGAAGAGATGTCTTAATATTTTGAGGTATAAAGAAAGGTAAAACAGTGAGAAGACTTAGTCATTTTTTGATACAAACCTTCCATGAAGTAAGGATAAGAATGAACGACTCCTTCCAGCTCAGAATGAGGCACTCTAGCAAGGGCCAACCTCACGAGCAAAAGAAACCTGAAGCTTTAAAGCTACTTAAAAAGGGTTGTGGTCTGAAAGAGGAACAACCTAAGAAATGCTGCCCATTGTTTTAATGAAAAAAATAGCAAGCTCAGACACAGGAGACCAAAAGCTATGCACATTGTTCCTACCAACTGCAAAACATGTCTGTCCACGCTAAACAGATAATGACAGCGGCATAGACAGCTTTTCTTTTTTCTTCTTAGTTTTATGCTTCATCTTTATGTTTGGTACTGCTGAAGCATGAATTAATAGTCTTCTGTTTTGAACAAGTTGTTTCCAAGCTATTTTAATAATTTAGTCACAAATGGTACTGAGGAGTGTAAGTCCTGTTCTCAGAAATCAGCAAGTTGCACAAATCCATCCTAGAAGAGTAAAAACGGGAGGCTTAACATGTCTGCAGATATTCAAGTGGGACCTGAGGAAGGGAGGACAGTAAAACTACCCCAGGAGCACTGACAGAGCTGTTGTACTCTGAGTTACTGTTAAGCAATATATAACAGAAAAAAATATATGAAGAATTGATATGTATGGATCCTATTGCAGGATTGGCCCCTAATCCTAATTATTCCTTTATTAACCTAGTCTTTCTACATGGTTAATCCCTTTCTGATGTTATGACTATTGTATCTGCGGGTAGTCTTATGAATGGCCTGGATTGTTTTACATGTGAAAATACTTTAGAGCAGATTTCTTTCTTTTTTTAATCCTCGCGAATACTCTTATCCAGAATAGATATTAAAAAAATGAATCATGTTGTAACGGAGGTAGAACCATAGTAGTAGTCAAGTGTGTTATCTGTAATTTATGAGACAATCATTATTCACAGTATTAGAAGAGGTGATCAACATCTGTAGGAAAGAGGTCCACTAGTATCACTAGTCATTTCTGTGTTTTCCCACCAGCCCCAAAGACAGCTTCCAAAATTTTAGCCAGAAATTTTGCTCATATAAATGGCAGCACAAGCACACAATTTTGTGCAGAAACACTAGAATAAATTTACATGTACAGATAATATTTTTTTTTAAATTTAAAAAAAGCATGCGAGCATAGCTGTGGAATCTGATTTTGAGAAAAACACCAGTGTTAAAAATATCTTAAGGGTTTTTTAATTTCCTTTAAAAATAATTCTGAAAAAAAAAATCATTTGTAGAAATAAAAACATTTGCTTGCACAGTTTAGGCAAAAGAAGGAAATTACTGAGTTTTGTTTCTAACAAAATTTATTTCTTCTCCTTTCATCTTGGCTTTCCGATACAGACAACATGTTAAAATTAGTTTTGCATATATAAGATGTAAAGAAACCTGTGAAGTATAACAAACAAACAAAAAGCATATCTGTGCATGTTGATGGGTGGCGAAACTCCCATCCCTTCATCAAGTTCTACGTATTTGAGAAGCCACCTTTTACGATCAATAATCGGTACTCTACTTATGAAGATAGCTCCACTTCTGATACAACTCTTACGTGCTTTTCTGTGCATTCTCACGCACACACCTGTGTGTATCCATGCACATACACACAAATCACGATGCTTTTATGCATACAGAATCAAATGATTCAAGTGAATTAGTGACGAGATGCAAGCTTTTCATATCTCTGCCATGATTTTGCTCATTTTAGTAATGAAAAGACATTACTATCTGAAGGCTATTTGTCAGAAATGAATAGGCTGTCTCATTCCAGGTCACTGGACAACTATCTGCATCACAAATGTGCTCAGGAACAGAAGACTGGAAGGGACTACCCAGATCCTGATGGACTGTCAAGTCCAGCTCTCCCCATCACAGTCAACCATACATTAGAAATTTTGTCCAGAATAGCCTACAGTATATGCTTTGTGCACACGCAATCTACAACCTATGAAACTCTATGACAGAATGAAGGCTCCCTAGAAACAAAAACCTCAGAAGGTATCACTTGGGGAAGATGTAAAAAGCCTTGAAATTGCAAACTTTCCTTCAAAAGAAATTACCTTCCAGAGTGACTGAGTAGCACTCTCCTTTATGTCCTTTACAAAATATTTCTTCTGTAAGGATAATTTGGCATGCACACAAACGACATATAGTTTAACTACTGTGATTTAAATACGCGTTGTTACACTGTGTTAGATCTCAGCCTCATTAAAGTATCTGTCGCAGATAAGTATCTATGAGAGAAAACTGGTCTCATGATTGGCTTGTGTGACTCACACTAATAGATTGATGGAGTATGTCGTCGTTGATGACCTAACGATGGCTTTAACTCCTTTTAAACCAGCATATATGCAGAAGACTAAGGACCCGGGCTCGTGAAGAGAGATGCTTCTGTATTTTACTCCCCCCGAAGCAGGCTCATCCCCCCCGCCTCTACAGGTAACTCCAGCCTTGTATTTCAAGACAAACTGAAACCTGCCTGAAACCTGAAAAATGCTGAAACAGAAACCATGACGGTTCAGGAACTGCTTCCAGGACATGTCAGCTCTGTAGGCTGCATAACCACATGAGACACCTCAAAGTAAGTTGTCCCTGTTTGTGAGTCACACCCCTAAATGCTGTCTTTTCAGATACTGGTCGAGACCTCTTAGAGAGGCAAAGCCTGCAATACCTGTTCGGTGGATAAAAAGGTCTTAATTCTCCAGCATGGCCAACCCAGCTGATTCTATATGCAGTAATATAAAACGTATTTTAAACATAATCTTAATTACTCCTCCAGTAGATACGAACACTTGACATATTAATTTATCAAAGATTTCACCAATATTTATACATACTCTGACACATAAATTATAAAAAAAGAAACACAACCTGAGTTTGAGACTTCTTGCAGTACAGTTATCATTCAAATTAGATTTGTGTCTCTCAAGCTAAAGCCACTCTAGTCAATGTCCACAGATTTAGAAGCATTTTAGTTACTGCGCTATAACAAAGTCCTGCAACATTCTAGGGCTCTCGGCTAAAATGTAAGAGATCAAATCTAGCAAACAAGAAATGCATGACTATATTTTTACAGATCTGCTTCACCAAGAATTAAAAATAATTGTTAGATAGAACTATAAGCAAGTAATTTACTGCGCTGTCCAACTCTAAACAAGTTGGTTTTCTGGATGCAGAGGTCTAGTTGCACTTTATGTGTGTACTAAATGTAGAACAAAATGGGTTAAACTGGAATTAAAGCATTAATGAAAAGAAAAAAGTTACTAAATGGTAGAGGCACAAACAAGTGACAGCATGGGACGAAATATTTTTGAGGTATATATTAGGCTATTGAGCTTCCTGGCTATGAATTTATTGTACAGAAGTATGTGGCAAATTAAGACCGCTGACGTTATCGATACCCTTGCTCTTCCTATTCTTGTTCAGACCATGGACAAGGCTTTAATAAATATCACATGCAGTGTTATTAATATTTATCCATAATAGTAATTACTTTTGTTTTCTAGATCTTATTACTGTACACGTTATAATTCATCCAAAGATGAACGAACTATGTCTATGTGGCTTTAGAATAAAATACTGTGTTCAACTTCAGGATCAGGCGTTTTAAAAAAGCAACCTTATTAATCTAGGGAAGTCAGGGAGGAAGGAAAGAGTAAAAAAGTTTTCCTTTGCTGTTGAGTTGTCAAAATGCTGGCTCAATATAGTAATGGAATTAAATCGCAGTAACTCCCATATACTCAGGAATGAGGAATGTGCCGTAAGGTTGGAGCTAAACAAAAGGCTAAACTGGTTATGAGGTAAGTCTTAATTTTTAGTAATGATCTGATACTGTCAGTAGACAATGAAGAAAATCAGCTGAGGTGGAAAGCAGTTGGATTTAGATTGGCTAATCTGTATGGAATCAGGAAGACTGTAGGATGAAATTTTAGCAGGAAATGATTTAATGGAGAAGGAAGGAAGGACTAGATAAACCAACTGAAATATCAATGCACACCTGAGGAGAGATTAGTAGAGAAAGGAAACACCAGTACTGAAACAAGTGGTATTTATTTTTTCAGTAATTAACAGAATTCCAGCTCTGTCAAGAATGAGCCCTGTTTAGGAAACTATCCATTTTCTTGCTGAATGAGTACAGTATGTAAATATTTTGGAGAGAGGCAAAACCAAACTCCTACCTTACTTACAATGGGCGAACTACGGATCATTTCAAATAGGATGTGATGATAATTTGTAAATATTGCATTTCAGAGCAATATTTTGCAACTGAGGTAATTTCACCATATCCAAACTGCAGCATCAAACATGGTATTGCTCTCACAGATAAAATTGAGCCAGACAAAATAAACCAGTAACTTCTTGCAAAACCTTCCTCACGTGGAAAAGACTTTTGAATAGCAAACATCGTGCACCTTCCCTTCTCAAGGAGGGAATACAGTACACACATCCCTTACCACTGAGGTACCACGAAGATAGCCATTCATTTAAAAAAAGATTAGCCAACTTCCAGAGCCATACCATAAATTTAAGAAATCTATTCTAAAATCACCTCCATGCGGGGCAAATTCAGCGCACCATTAAACCGCTCTGAGTTTTAGAGACTTAAGCGTTTTAACCCCCGATTTGCTGTTTGCACAGCAGGAAGCAGACCCAGGCCCGGCCCGGCGGCATTCCCGCGGACTCTTCCGAGAGCGTTTGACACTCCC